GACGTGCCACTACATGATCGCAGGCTTTGGTGAAAACGAAAGCCCACTGGCCAAGTTAACTGCCAATGTGTATCTCACGATGGCATCTTTGCTTTTAAACTGTTCAGATTTTTTAGATACAATCATTTTAAAACGGCTCTCTTCTGAGTTCATTCATATTAAAATGGCTTTCTGCAAGGGTCTCATCCGGTAAATTCATCTTAAAATGGCTAAAATAGCTACCTGCACAGTACTTTTTATTTACATTCGTCTTAAAATAGCTAAAATAGCTACCTGACGGTACTTTTCGTTTACATTTGTCTTAAACTGGCTAAAATAGCTACCTACACGGTACTTTTCGTTTACATTCGTCTTAAACTGGCTAAAATAGCTATCTGACGGTACTTTTCGTTTACATTTGTCTTAAAATGTCTCAAATAGATTCCTGCACGGTACTTTTCGTTTACATTCGTCTTAAAATGGCTAAAATAGCTACCTTCAGTGTTCTTTTCGTTTACATTCATCTTAAAATGGCTAGAATAGCTACATGCACAGTACTTTCCGTTTACATTCGTCTTAAAATGGCTAAAATAGCTACCTGCACGGTACTTTCCGTTTACATTCGTCTTAAAATGGCTAAAACAGCTACCTGCACGGTACTTTTCGTTTATATTCGTCTTTAAATGGCTAAAATAGCTACCTGCACGGTACTTTTCTTTTACTTCTTTCTTTTGTCAAAATCTGCTTGTGCCGCTAGGCGTCGCAGTCTATCAGATGATCGGCAACCGAGCCAGGGCGCGCTCAGTCGCTTCATATGCCGTGATGTTATGAAGTCTCAAGTTGTCCGTGACTCCTTCAATCCATATTCTTCTTGGTCTTCCCCTGCCTCTTGGTGTTTCGATTTTCATGTTGTATGCTCTTGATGCTGGCATCGTTGGTTCCATTCTCATTAGGTGACCAAACCATTTCATTCTTTGCTTCTCAATAAATTTAACGATGGGTATGGTTCCAATAGTTCTTGTAATCACGTCGTTTCTCACTCGATCTCTTCTGGTTTTATTCGCAGCCATTCTCAAACACTTTTCTTTTTAAATTCGTCTTAAAATGGCTAAATAGCTACCTGCACGGTACTTTTCGTTTACATTCGTCTTAAAATGGCTGTATTCACGTTCCTTGTCGCGTATATTTATCCTATAAATTGGCTATTTGTACCATATTTGTCGCGTATATTCATTTTAAAATATCTACCTGCACAGTTCTTCTCTTGTAAGTAAATTCTCCTTAAAATAGCTGTTTTCATAGCTCATGTCTAGTACATTCGTTTTTTTTTTTTATGTATATATATATATTTTGTAGGGCTTGCGTTTTGTACACTGTATAAAAGAGTGCTACATGGTAATTTTCATAACCACTGATGGTGATTTTTAAAACATATGGTCTCCCACGTTTAACTAGCCGAAAATGCGTTCAAGGAAATATGCCGGGAAGTAAAGGAGATCAGCGTGATCTTGGCCATATCATTCATCGATTGATGAATAACTAACACCAAATGCCCAAAACGCATTAAATGCGGTGTTAAAGCAGACACTATGTCCCGATGCCAACCCATCTAACACGCTGTCTGATATTCTCCCCCTGCCTCTCCATCTTTCGGATGGTCGCGATATACTCCAGATTTCCCCGTTTCCTGGTGGACCCACGCAAACAATAACATCCGAATGAATGCTTGGAGAACCCCGCTCTTTATCCAATCAAATGCATATCTCATCTCTTTGTGTTGAGTGCTCTGAGGGTTGTAATTTCGGAGATATCTTTAGCCCTGAAGTACAGTGGCAATGCTTATAAAAGGACAATCCATAATCCACTTTGTAACCGTTGGATACCTCATTTTAAATACTCATCATCATCATCATCATGTGCCCTGCCAACTGACGTAGGCGCTCATGCATCTAAGTGGTGAACCTTTTATTTTTTCAAAGTGGTTACGAGTTTACTGGAAGACAAAAATAATGTGATGCACTTGTTGATGTAAATCTACTATTTGTGGTATTCAAGGAAATGAGAGAGCAGATGAGTTGGCAAAAGCTGGGAGTAATCTTCCACAACCTCATCCACCACACAGCTACAAGAAAACCAGAACAGCACTAAAGCAGTCTTTCAAGCAGGAGTGGAGAAAGCAGAATAGAGATTACAGACCAGAGAGTGACAGAATAAACAAACTCAACAGGAAAGAACAAACATCAATTCTTAGACTTCGGACTGGACACTGTGGTCTTCGAGCACACTTGTACGGGATAGGCATAAAAGAATCTACTGCCTGTGACTGTGGAGCAGAAAGACTGACCCCTGAGCACATACTGCAGTACTGCCCTAACCTCTCCCAGCAAAGACTGGATCTGGCCCGGGGAATCCACATTGCGAGAGAAGCTATGGGGGACCGGTGGCGACCTTAAACGCACAATCCTATTTTTGACCCAGACGGGACTCAATGTGTAGCATGACTGATGTCGAACGCAGAAGAAGAAGAAGAAGTACTATTTGAGGTGGTTGGTCAAGAGCGCTTTTGTTTCAGTTTCAAATATCAGTGTAGGAGTGTTCAGACAGCTGGCAAATGGTTAACTGTCATGTCTTTTGTCGCAGTTTAACTCTTTGAGTCCCAGGGGGTTTAGCATCACAGGCCCAAGAGGTAGTCAAGAGAGATGAAAAATCGGCGCATCTTGCGTTCGTTGGGCTTCTAGGTAGGAATCTATGAACGTATGATGCGTTCCTTGGGACGTAAACAGTTAACATTCCAGCTTATCTGATGCTGCGCTTTTCTGATTCAGTTTTATTTCGAAGTACTTCTGACATTTTGTTAATAGGTTTTTAATTGTTCCTGTTTGTGGTTTTTTTTTTTTTAATCGCTGTTTAAGCTTCAGTTTCAAATCTATGCGAACAGAAAAATATGAAAGCTTCGCTAGTAATGATAACGATAAAAATAAATTCTCCTAAGAAAGGGGGAAAAAAGCAAGTTACGTGCAAGTTAAGTTAGCAAGTGTGAGTGAGTGAGTGAGTGAGTGAGTGAGTGAGTGAGTGAGTGAGTGAGTGAGTGAGTGAGTGAGTGAGTGAGTGAGTGAGTGAGTGAGTGAGTGAGTGAGTGAGTGAGTGAGTGAGTGAGTGAGTGAGTGAGAGAGAGTGTGTGTGTGTGTTTGTCTTTTCACGTTTTTTTTTTTTTAAATATAAAATGTAAAATTGTGTACCTTTTATTGTGCTTAGGAGTCTTTTCAAAAACATTTGCTACTACTCCCGAAATAATTTCGTCAGCCCTGGTACTGCTGCACATTGCCTACCCACATGACAGAATGAGAGAGAGAGAAAGAGGGAGAGAGAGAGAGAAAGAGGGAGAGAGAGAGAGAGAAAGAGAGAGAACGAACGAACAAACAAACTTTATTTTTAAAGAGTTAGGAATTGAGCACGCAGGCCCGTTTAACATGAGACATTACAAATGTACTTACCATCCAGCAGCAGAGATGGCAACGACTGTGAAAGACTGCTCATGCCCTTGATGTTCGGTCTCCCACTGCTACGTGTGTCTGAATCTTTCCGCCGCGCCTGAATTTGTTTCAGAACCATGTCCTTGTTTGATCTGGTATCACTCTCAATTTGCTGCAGCTCTTCTCTGGACTTGGCCCTTCTCAGGTTCGCAGTTTCTGCAGAAACGACTTTGTCTCTCGAACCAGGGTCTCTATGAGGCATCGTGGCGTACGACATCTTGCTGTTGCTTGTTGTACTAGACAGCTGTTTCTGCTGAGCTGAACTAGACTGTGGCAATGTTTGTGTTTTTGTATGTGGAGAATTTGATGATATGCCGTGGTGTTTCGATGCAGAGTCCAATCCATTCGTTTTTACATTGGAGGATGTTGAAAAAACAGACGATGGTTGCGAAATACTCTTGTTCTGTGATGCTGAGATTGGAGCGGCATTTGTTATTTTGCTGGAAGCTAATGATGACGGGGAGTTAATGGATCTGATAGTCACTGAATGTGAGGACTGGACACCTGTCGAGGGTTTCACCGCAGCACTGTCTTTTCTCTTCACGTATTTCTCGTTTTCGTCCACTATTTCCTTGTTTTTAACCGATTCGATCGTCGCATGGGATGAAGGGGCAGCAACTGCAGAATTTATACTTCCGCCTGTAGACTCTGCAGCTGTCTCCCTTTTTACCGTGCGTAATTTACTTCTGGTTTTTTCCCATTCGGTTGGCTCGCTGTGAAAGTTCGAAGTACTTGTCTGTGGTTGCCGAGTATTTTGTTGGCTGAGTTGTTGGGACTTTCCATTTATGAACACAGCTGGTTCTTCTTGAGAAATTTGCTCTGAAGCTCCTCCTGTGCTCCCCTTTGAAATAAATATACGTGTAGGAGCAGCAGAACTTTGTGGGTTGTTCAAGTTTAAAGTGCTGTTAGACCGATACACACCCGAACTTGAACTTATAATAAACTTACTCGTTTGATTACCACCGTAGTTACTGCTGGCTCCAGGGATCGCATTCAAAGCCGTATTGCTGCCAAATGACTGAGCCAGTAGTTTTACGCTAGGCAGGCCACGAAACCCCTGATAGCTGGAGTCTTTATCTTGAATCATTGTTTGTGACTTACTCACACCCTTGCGTGCTTGGGCCATTTGCAAAGGACTTACATACTCAGAGTGAGACGCTAAAGGTGTGGATTTAATAAAGTGAGATTCATTTGCAGCGGAAGAACGAGAAGCTGTGCCCGCAGAATGAGAAAAAAGTGCAGGCGTGGTTGATGAAGCAGCTGAAGCTAACGAGGAAGATGGGTTTGAAGCGTGATCAGGGACGGATAAAGGAATTGGCTGGGTGGTTGTCATGAGCTTGCTAGAACTTATGTTTGCTGTAGTGGTCACCCGTGTCTGTTGTGCTGGCTTCCGTTTGACATACATACCCCCGCCAATGCTGCTACTTACAGTAACACTATTCGAACTGCTAACCCCATCCGCGCTTTCCCTGGGGTTAACTCTGCCACTAGATTCAGCCATCCCTCGGTTTTCAGATATTGCCTGCTGATTATTTTCCTTACTAGAATACGCAGCATCTGCAGAAGAATTCACCTGCTTACTTCTATCATTAACGCTACTGTTAACGCCGGCTTCAGTCGTCTTTTTAAGTGTTCCATGCTTCGAGGTACTCATTATGACTGGAACGTGAGTGGTGTTCGAACTGCTGTAGGCAGCAGTCCCGGGATCCACTGCGGGTGGCTTGATGGGTGACTGAAAGGAAGATGGCAGATGGGATCCATCTGTTTGATTGACGGCAAGCAAGGATTTACTTCTATGTAAATTAGACAATGCTGAAGCAGGTGTTGCTGCATGCGGGAGACCTTTTGCCGAGTTTCTTCTCTTGAGAGGCGAGTCGCTGTTGTTGTGTATGTTTTGCTGCGGGTGAGGGTGCAGGGTGAATACATGGGGGAGAGGGGGGAGGGAGATGCGGGAGGATAAAAATTAAAAGCACGGGAATTAATACATTATATTTTAAATAAAGCGTAATATTAGTAAAACACAATAATCTGCATAAATGCATGCATGTACATATCATTTTATATACTAATAACAACACCATCCCATCACCATAATGAGAGCGGGTTACTTGGTACCCGAAAAGTGAAAGTCGAGAGCATCCATTACACGTCCTTTGAATTGTATCCCATACGGCTCAGACTTTCTCCGCTAGAGGCCTGCAGAGAGCGTCGCAAGAAGCGCCAACTTCGCGGCTCCGGCGTCGATCCTCTGTGATCTCTGTAAAAACTGCAATCGTTAACCGAACGACGCAGTCCGACCTTGACAGCACAAGGTAAAGGGCTTGACCGCTTAGCCACGAAGACCTCTGATTGCTGTAGGTAACCTTTGGGGTTTCATAATACAAAAAGGGCGGTCTTGGGGTGGTTGGGGTGTGTATTTACATAAAAACCTTTGAAGTGTGACAGAAATTACAAAAATCATGCCACTGTCTTACACCTGTCAGTTGTTTTTGTTGGTAAGGATGTCAAAAGTATTAATATTAAGCACGTGACACCACGGCTCCCATAGTGATGGTGCCAATACAACTTATCGGCTAAACTAGCTAAGTGAAACAAACACAGTGACGTTATAATGACAGTTTAAAGATGGTCGCCCACTTCTGGCAGGCACCAAAGAAAAGGAGCATTCTGTTATTAATTTTTTTTTTTTTTTTTAAATCAGTGAAATTTATGTATATTCAACAGATTTATATCATGGCACACGGGTGTAACCCATGAGTGCTCCGTTCTTGTTCTAACTCAAGCCTGAGTATGAAGAATCTCAGCACAGTGCACGAACTCTGTAGCACCGGCGAGGATCCTGAAAAACTTTGGGTAGAATTTTAACCCCAAAACTTGCTCATGCAGCGCCGTTTGGCTATTCTTTTCGATTTTCAACTGCCAAGGGATATTTTTTACGTGCGCAACAATGCACATGGTCGTCTGATCTTACTACTCAGAGATCAGGAGAAATTACTAGAAGTCCACCTGAAAAAAAATCCCAGCCCTCACCAGACTTGAACCCGGGACCTCTAGCACTCGATGCGGACACCGTGCCTCGAGATCATGCAGCCCCCTTAAATCAGTGAAGGGATCAAATCTATAGAAATGCCTCGGCGACTGCCGTTAGTTCTTATACTTTTTGCCACACTTTTACGGTTTTCATTTTCAGCCCCCTCGCATAACTGTTTTAGGTTGCTGAAGGCAGTGCTCCCGTCTGCCTCTCATCCTTGGAGTGTTAATCCCCACAGAGAGTAATCCTGGAAGTTAACAATGGCCACCACCACCACCAGTTTTAAAAACTAATAATGAACATGTTAACTCTCACTAAGACAAAGGGGGCCTGTGATCTAGCATCACATTAGTTTCTACAGGCCAACTACCACATGACTGGTGATGTGATCACTATCACGCATGCCGCCTTTTCTTCCCTAGAACATCAACCGGTACCCATTTCAGACTAGGCTGATCTTGGATGCCAAGTCAATTTGTTTTAATGTTTTAATGGGGATTTAAATCTGGAAGCGTCGAGACGGTTGGCTAGCCAGCTAGCGACAGTGTTACTGCAACCTAAATAGTTGTTACATTTCAATAATTACAAACAGCAGCAAACGAATGTTATAGTCAGGAAAGCTACTTAACAAGCACCCATAAGGTTTAATGCGAGGATGGGATCCGCTAAATTTATCTTTTTTTTTTTAAAGATAGTGCTATTCTCTGGTCTGGTAGTCTTAGTTTCAGCTCCACAGCAAACAGGTCACCCCATCTTTGCTCCGAATCTTTGCTCCGCTTCTGTGCCAACGAAAAACACACAGAATGTTTATCACAGTCCCTTGTGGAAAGATCGACAGACTGCTATCTCAGCATATCTAGCATACACACGCATTAAAGCATACGGCAGCCATCCGAAGTGCTAACACAAACAGTCCGACATTAGAAATGCAGTTCATCATTGATGGTAGCAGAAGTCACCAACAGGTCAGCAGTTGCCCACGCAATCAATTTTAATCACATACGGGCACCACCAACATTGCGACAACAGGCATCGCGCCATTTTCTCAATCTACAATTCACAGTGCTTTTCTCTATTTTCGATAAATCACATGAACTATAACAAGGCATTAATCAAGTTAGCAGTCTATCCTCTTAGGATGTTGCAGAACTAACCCCAGCATTTCCTTTCCCTGTTTGGTTTTACTAGACCATTTTACGCCCAGTAGCCTGCGACTAGACTGCTGGGAGCTGAATGCCTTCTCTATTGAAATCAAAATCCAGCTAGAATCAAACCGGGTACTTCGGAATTATGAAGCACGTTCACAGCGCTTTAAACCCCAGTTACCAACAACATAGCGTTACTGTCCCCTGGTTGTCGCTGCTGTTGTTTTTATGCAAATATATTTTGAATTTCATTTTACTCTGCGATAATTTCTACCCCTGTATGTAAATGTGAATGAGGAAAGCGTTCAGGTGTATGAACTTGATTCAACAGGTTTTTTTTTTTTTTTTTTTTTCAAACAGATTAAATCAAGTTATAATTTTATGTATTTTATTCTAATTTCAATGTATCTAGGCAAATGTTTATGAAGGTGGGGGAAGCATCAATGAATAAACTAAATTAATTATAGTGCCTCTAACAACAGGTTAGCTGCTTTTTAACATTAATGAACCATAAACAAATTAATATTATCATCATCATCATCATTGCCTACATATGTTGGTGTTGGTTCTGTGTTGTCCTGTAAAGGACAGGCAACATTGTGTTTATGTGTTTATATATATATATATATATATATATATATATATATATATATATATATATATATATATATATATATATATATATATATATATATATTATTTATTTTATTTATTTATATGTTATTGCATGCTACACTTATGTTTATGTATCCAAATAAATGGGAACGGCGAGAACTTCCAGGAATAAGAACAATATCAGTTATAAGGTGTCTAACACAAGATAGTGCTGTTTTAGTATTTACAATCATGTTTGAAAAGTAAAATTTAACTGTAGGCTATGTTGATTCTTGTGTTTCCAAATAAGTGGAAATGATGAAAATTTACATGCAAAAACTAAATTTACAAGGTACCTAACACACAGAGTTCAAGTAAAGGGCCCTTTCCTACGCCTTCATGCGTGCTGGACCACCGCCTTCTCTAGATTAATAGCTAAAGTCGGACGTGGCTGGACATACAGGGCTGACTAGATAGGATTAATAGTTATAGGGAATATAGGGCTTAGGGACCAATCGGCACTCGATGGGAGATATGGTCAACATCATGCCGATCGCCATTACTTCCCAGGACTCTACCCGGTACCATTTTTGTGTGTGTGTGTGTGTGTGTGTAAGGCTGGGTGACTTTTGAAAAAAGTCCGATTGTGTCAGGGCCTGATCCCTCGACCTTTGGATTCGCAGACAAGCGTATTGCCGTTACACCACGGATATTCCCGTAACAAGGCTGCCTGGCTCGTAACCATGAAGCGCGTACTGTTTTATGGGATGTGAAGTGTCAGTCCTTATTATAACCCACGGCCAGCTTCAGATTTGTAATACGAATACAATCAGAACACATAAGTTTGTAAGCATATTATAATGTCACAAAATGCAACATGGAAACGCTTGCAGTAACCTATTTTCGATGGGACTCAGCAAAAATTTACCGTGATTCAGTTGTCAGAACTGAATATACAGCCGGACGTGTTATAACCCTGGACATAACAGGCGTGGTGGCTGGGTAACTTTCTCGTAGTCTTGATTCCCCGCCCTACTTCCAGAAAAATGCTTAGAACACCTAAACTACGGATAAGGCAATTCTCTAAAGATAACGCATGGCATTGAAACGAGTGACTTTTGCTATTCCTTCTCACACATCCAGAACAATCAAATTATATAAGCGAGGGGTGTAAAGGGGGGGGGGGGGGGGAACAAGCGTTCTGCTCTGAATCTTAAAGTTTCAAATCTATCTCTGGTATACTTGACCAACACGAAGATGGGCAGAGGAATGAGGCGGGAGAGCTGGCAAGAGACCGAGTTTATTTCAGGCAGACCGTGATGAGAGCGACGTTCTGCAAAGGACCTGCTATATGATGATAATTGACATAATCAATTTGTAAAGGGAAAGAAAGACAAGCACCACTCGCAAGAATAGTGAATGACTGCACTCTTTTAGTTATCACTGAAACTCTCAAATTATAAGGGCGAAACAACGAGCCCCACTATAAAGGCTAGCAAATGCAATATATTAAACAACGGCTATCCTCCGAAAAACGGTCCTAAATGAACAAACCGGAAAAAATACCCTAACAGGGCCTCAGTCACGTGTCAATAGCGCACTTTCATCGTCTTAAACTGCGCACTTCCGGCGACTTCCGCCACCGCCGAGAGTATCCCGATTGGGGCTAAACTAGATGGCTAGAACTCACGAGCAGCAGCTACCGCATCTCCTGCAGCTTCCTTAATTTTATTTGCTCATGAGTCCCAGCCATCTATTTTAGCCCCAATCCACGCGGCGTGAGGGATACTCAATGCGGTGGCGGTATAGTCCCCGGAAGTTCGCAATTCGGCGGTGGCGTTATAGTCCCCGGAAGTGGGCAATTGACACGTGACTGAGGCCCTGTTAGGGTATATTTTCCGCCTCAATAATTTAGAACCGTTATTCGGAGGATAGCCGAAACAACTACTAAAATATTTTTGGTAACACGTGAAACATTCAAATTATGGAGGCGAAAAGATACGATTACTGTGAAGGCTGGAACATTTTTGAATTATTCTTATTATTTGGAAAAGTACTGCATAATTCTTATTATTTTATATGAAACATGTCAGTTACGCAGACCACTGCTTTCTCTAATAAATAGAG